AGAGAGAGAGAGAGAGAGAGAGAGAGAGAGAGAGAGGAGAGAGAGAGAGGCTCTTAAATGTTTTTTGATTGCCAGGAAAAAAATAAGGAGAGAGAGAGAGAGAGAGAGAGAGAGAGAGAGAGAGAGAGAGAGAGAGAGAGATATCTAAAGTAATGCACCTAGAATGTTGGTTGAATCCCTGGATAATACCCACAAAATTAGGCATGCATGGATCAGGGACCTTTATAGGGCTGCCCACACCATTTGAATGGGACTCCAAAAAGATATTGAAGTAAGACATTTAAACATAAGGTATGTTTAGGGTTAAAGTTAGGGTTAAAAAAGTCACACTTTTTAAGTACTTTTTTTCTATGTGCTTATTTCCAAGGGAGTCACTCAGTTATCTCCTAGAAAAAAATACGGTGCCTCTCACCTACTCTTCCTCCTTGGATAGCCTTTTGTTTTGTTTTGTTTTGGTGCTGACAACATTCCCTGATACATCACTGCATCATGCTTTCACCCATTTGAAGTCAGTTCAGTTAAATTTTTTTTCTTTTCTCTAGTTAAATTAGTTTCTGTATTTTGATAAAAGGGGAGGGATTGATATGACGAAAGTTTAAACAAAAATAATAAAGTAATTTTATAATTCATGCCAAACTCTATAACTGAAATTATATATTAAGTACCAAAAATGAAGGTATTGGTTACCTTTTTTTGATCAGTCCTGAAGAAAAAGAAAAGTTACTACAAAAACTATGTATAACAGGCAAACTTTTGAACTAACTGATTTCAGACAGTTGTGCTGTTATTTCATCCTCAGATTTAGCTCACTGCTCATTGTTATCATTATTATAAATATGGCCTATTTTGTCCCTGGATGGAATTTTATTCTGACACATTTCAAAGCACAGAACAAAATTAACTTCGTTTTTTAAAAATATTCTGCAAATACTCCCTGATATTTACCCCGGATTTTGCCCAAGGTTGTCTATAGGAAAAAGGTAGAAGTGGAATGCCGGGACACTTCCCTTGAGGTGCTTGGTCAAACTGTAGGAAGGAGTACTTTCTAGGATTATCCAGTTCCATGATAGCAGCCAGGTTCCCAAAACGGTTACAATAATTGGGTGCACTGAAAATGGTTACCACCTTTTCATTATGAGTCCAGAAGTAACCTTGCTCGACAAGTTGGTGACCCCGGGAAATCAGTGAAAGACCATTGGCCTGCCTAAATATTTGAGAAATGTCTGGTCCAAATGTGTGCCCAGCCCCTCTTGGAGAGGGCCTCCATCCCTCATTACTATATGGATCAGACCATAACAGATCACAGACTGGTCCACTCATGGGGACTTCTTTAAAACGATCCAAAGCTCTTATATGATCCAGGGTATCTATGGAGGGAGACAGACCCCCATGGACGCAAAATATCTGGCTGTCAACTAAAGCTGTAATGGGGAGATAATCGAAAAGGTTTGTAAAATATTTCCAGACATTGGCATTTCCATACTTCTTTTGGCATTCATCATAAAAACCATAAACTCGAGTAACATCTCGAGACTCGTGGTTTCCTCTCAATAATGTAATAGACTTTGGATATTGTACTTTTAAAGATACAAGTAAAGTCACAGTCTCCACTGAGTACAAGCCTCTGTCAACATAATCACCCAAAAAAAGGTAGCATTTGTCTGGTAAGTTCCCACCAATCGTAAAGATACGCAAAAGATCATGAAATTGACCATGGATATCGCCACAGACAATAACGGGACAAGAGACGTTCTGAACGTTTGACTCTTTCATTAGGACTTCCTTAGCCTTCTCGCATAGAGTGTGCACTTGCTTCTCGTTGAGGAGTTTACAATCTTTCAGCTGTTTTATCCATTGGTCCAACTCTTTGGTAAACATCTCCTTCATGGAAGAGTTTGCAGTCCCTGGTTGCCCAGCAACCCCTTTCCCCGGTCTCGACAGCATGTCCCCACTTTCTGTCCAGTCCTACCTGGCGGCTTCAAACTAGTCCTGTCCCTCCCTTGTAGGGGAGGGAAGGGAACGGAGGCCAACCACCTTCTGTCCGCGAGCCTCTCAGCCCCTCCTCCTCAGCTCTCGTGCTGTGCTGCGCTTGGCAAAGGCTTCAGGCTGGGCTGGACTGCGGGAAAGGGAGAGCTTGTGGAATTCATTCTTTTGATCTTTCATACGACTATGTGTGTGTGTGTGTGTGTGTGTATGTATATATATATAATATAATTTATATATATATATATACATATATATATAGTACCTACTATGTGCAAGAGAGGCAGTTTGGAATAACTGATAGGCAGAATGCTTCAACATACAGAAGATCTGTAATCATGTCCCACCTGGGACTCCCAAGGCAACTCTCTGAGACTGTCCTGGGCAGATGATGACCTGGTTTATTCTAGGGAAGTTCCTCAAATGAGAGGAGGAATACCTGTGAAATCATGAATGCATTCCCTGTCCCTACGATGTGTGAGACTGAGATCGGGTCAGGAGTTAGAACAAACAAAAACAAACAAAATCTAAATTAAATAGTCCTTGCATTCATGGAGCTAAGTGTAGGGGAAAACACAAATACAAGTAAGTAAACACAAAAGAAAAAAATTCAAAATAAATCCAGAGTAATGGGGGAGGGAGAGGAAGAATAGGTGGGGGCCACTACCAATTGGGGTTGGAGGGAAAGTGGTGATGAGAAAGAGCACTTCAGCTGAGCCTGGAAGAAAGTTAGGATTCTTCTTGGTGAAAGTGAGAAAGATATGGGGGCAAAACCTGTGAAAATACCAAGGAACTGGAGATGGAATGTCCTCTAGGAGGAACAGCAAATGGGCCACTTTACTGTGCCCACGTTGTCCCGATCTCTAGAGCTGAGGTTTTCAACTTGTGGTAGGACTTTTGGAGATTCTTTGGAGGTGGTATCAGTGAGGTCAAACTAATTTTATAATAATACTAAGACATCATTTGTATTTTAAAATCTCCCCCACACACATCCACATTTCCAACTACATTGGTGTGACTTGTATTTACATGGCAACAGACTGAATGCAGAAGCAGGTATGAGAAACCAGCTGTCTTCTATTAAGCCAGACATTAAAGAAATTTGAAAAAAATATATATATAAAGCTTTTGTGGGCAATTTCCAACTTGGATTCCTTGAGAGATCAGGGAGAACTTGATCCACCATGACTTCTTTAAGATTGTAAATCAAAAATAAAGACTGAAAGAAAAATTAATTTATTAGTGCACTAAGAAAAACTACTGGGGCTAGTTCTTAGACTGCACATTGGGTTTTTGATAGCTTTTTAGGTTCCCTTAGAGTACACAGTCAATCAATGGTTTGTCATGCCTTAGGGTCACAGGTTTTGCTAAAGGTCAGGTTCATTCCTGTAGGAAATGCATTTTTTCTGTGGTTAGTCTTTTCATAATTCCCTGTGTTGGCAGGAAGTATCTAATATGGTGTAGTCCCCTTCTAAAATTTAATCATTTTTGTTTATCTTGTCATAACCAATAGGGAGTCAAGTAAAATACAAACCCCATAGCTCTGTTTCCTTTGTTTTAGAGGTCACTTTTATCTTAGAGGAACATGTTTCCTCAAAATTCACTGGACCTTTGTTTTTCTTCATCCTCCAAAAGAGCAATGATGCTCTTCTTATTATTTTCATTTTGGAAAATATTGTTATTTTTTATGAAAAAAATTATTTTGGTTAACATGTAATAGGTTTAATTTTATTTTCAAACGAATTAATAAATATTTTAAAAATCTCTCAGCTGTGATTTCTAATATAGTAAATATTGCTAAATATAATTCACACAAACACATCAACTTTGTGGTATATAAAAAGACTCCTCAGTAATGTTTAAGAGTGTTAAGGGGTCCTGGAAACCCAAAAGTTTGAGAACTGCTGCTCTAAAAGAAAGGTGCCAGCCAGCATGCTATGTGGTTTCCCTGTGTAGGATGTGTATGAGGGCATGTCAGGAATAGAAAAGTTCAAAGCTGCACCACTGAAGGAAGTATCAGCTTCAGTGGATTAGCAGGTCCATTGCACTATGGAAGTATCTCATTCACCTTTATTGCTGACAATTTAACATTGTCAGTGCTGAAGTTCAGGAGAGATTTGCCTACATTTAACATTTGGCTCTGCTGAAACAATATATTTTAAGATTGCACCTGAGCTTAGAATTGTATAATGAAACTCCATATCTTTACCATAGAATGTTTCCTTTTTTCAACTATCTTTTTATCTGTCTCAAAATGGAAAAAAAGTTTTCCTTATGAAACTATATTTCTTAAGCTGTTCATAAATACTTTTGAACACTGCATTTTTTTGTGAACTCAAATTGAAATTTTCTACTTATTTATAAGTATTTTAATTCTGATAAGGAAGACTTTACAAATATTCCAACCAGACTACTAATGCTTGATTGAAGTAATCTTTACGCAAAATGTTTATCCTCTATCTAGGAAAATATACAGGCATTTAGTGTCTCAAGACTGTATCTACAATAATAGGAATAGAGAACTGATGTGATTTGATTGATGTGGGGAAGTTACAGATGAGGACATTCCACTCTAACATTTCAGTTCTGTACTTATTCTTCTCTTCATAGTTTTAGAGAATTGTCTGCACATATTGAAATGTTTAGTGACTTGCCCAAGGTCACACAGTCTATGTGTGTCATAGATAGGACCTGACTATAGATCACCCTGGCCCTGAGACTAATCATAATAATATCAATAGCTAGCAATTTATATAGTGCCTACTAAGTGCCAGACATCATGCTGAGTATTTTACAAATACCTCATTAGATTCTCACAACAACCCTGGGAGGTAGGTGCTATTATTATCCCCCTTTTATGGTTGGGGAGACTGAGGCCAACAGAGGTTAAGAACTTACCCAAGATCACACAGCTATTCTTCAAGGTCAAATATGATCTCAGGACTTCTTGACTCCATATCCAATGATCTATCCACTGTGCTACCTAGCTGCTTCCTAGATGTCTGTCTAGTACCTACATATAATATTCTATATGTCCGGGGGAAGGAAGGATAGACGGGGGAAAGGAGGAGGAGAAGGAAGAGGAGGAGCTGCTAGGTGGCACAATGGATAGAGTGCCAGGCCTAGAATCAGGAAGACCCTGGACAAGTCACTTAACCCTCTTTGCCTCAGTTCCTCCTCTGCAAAAAGAGCTGGAGAAGGAAATGACAAACCACTCCAATATCTTTGACAAAACAACAAAAACAAATGGGATCACAAAGAATAGGAAGTGACTGAAACAACTGAAAAACAGTAATAATTGGGAAAATAACATATGATCAGACATTTAAATCCAACAATCTGTACCATTGCAAGAGACATTTATTAAACACATTACATACACATACATAGCATACAAGTTGCTGTACTAGTGGTAGGACGACAGAGAAACAGCCCTTGCCCTCATGGCCCTTGCACTCTATAGGGGAGGAGATGGGATAAATATATAAATATATGCAAAGTGATTTCTAGAGCATCGATTCTTAACCTGGCATGCATGAATTTAGGAAAAAAATGTTGATAACTGTATTTTGACATAATTGGTTTACTTTTAAATCTTATTCACTTTTTTTTTATGCACTTTGACATTCTTCTGGGAAGGGCCTCACATATTTCTGCCAAAGGGGATTATGACTCAAAAAGGGTAAAAAAGCCTGGTAGCAGGAGAGGTTGCTACTCCCAAAAGAGGTGAGATAAAGAAGGGGGTGCCCCATCTAACAGGTGGCACCTGAGTTGGCCTTTGAAAGATACTAGAAGTACTCACAGCATTAATCTCTAATTATGTGTAAGGTGCAGATTATACACTAAGATAGATACAACTTTTCCTGCTCCTAAGGAGTTCACAATCTAATTCCCTTCACAAGTACTACCTGAGAGGCAAGAGAGCAAACTTGGCTCCTGCAGCTTTAAAACACAGAACAGACAATGTAGAAAAGATGGAAACAATTACCTGACTGAATGATTTTGTGCACATTTTTGAAACATAGGCAACTTTATCAAGTAATACAGAACTATAGAAAGCTTTTTTTTTTTCCCCTTTGAGAAAAGCACTCCGAGACAGCCTATGTTTGTTGTAGTGGGAAGTCATAAAAACAACAGAAACTTACTATCTTACTTTTGGCCCTGGGGCATGAAATCCTATTGTTTTTAAAGTAAACATAAGAAACAGATTTTCTTCTGCTTGTTGCAGCAAGAAGAGCCATTTTTAGATTGTACTAGGCCCAACAAAACATAGGCACCAAACACCTTCCCTACTGACTTCAATCCTTGAACGATCTTACAATTGTAGCTAATCTTTCCACCAGTTGTGATTGAGATATTCTTGGAAAGTCACTATTTCTGAAAAATTCATGACACTGTGGCCAACCCTGTTATGATACTCTTTGAACTTAGCTATGGTGGTCCTTGGAGAATAGCCATATGCTCTATTACAAGGTCCATACTCAGAGCCTCTCCAGATTCTTTCTTTCTTTCTTTCCTTTCTTCCTTTCTTTTTCTTGCTTTCTCAAATTTGTGACCTTTTATTGATTAAGAGCAATCTTTTTTTTTTAATAATGTGTCTTGATAAACCTCAACACTCTTGTGAGGTAGGTAAATAAACAACACTGCACATTTAAATATATGGGTAGACAGAAGTATGTGTAATAATAGGTTCACATATTAAATAATGAGAATTGGAATAGAACTCTCTCTCTAGTTTCAACCCCAAAATCATAATATATTTAACTTTAACAATAATGATCTTTAAAGGGTTATTATGATGTTAAATTTTGTCCACTGGTCTGTTCGCACTTGCCGATGCAGGACCGCTTTTTGAATTTTGGTCCCTTCTCCCAAATAATATCCATTAGTTCTAACTATCAAGATGGACTTCCAAACGGGTCAAATAAAGACATTATGCTGTGAACTAACATTTCGCTTGT